GAGTGAGTTTGTGAGCGAGGCATCACCCACGAGACGAAGCTACGGTGTTAGAACATGTCGTGTGACTGAGAAATCTCATCGTTTGTGAAGTTTTTACATTAGCGAATTTTGCATATGCGAGGTCTAGCAAAGCCGAGCGAAAGCAAAATTTGCGAATCAAACAAAGTCACGTTTGATACGAATGAAACATGCTATTTTTCCTGCAACCGAAAGAATTGACTAAAATAAATATGTGAAGTAACCACCAATGTGACTTACTAGACAGCTTATAAGAATACCTTTATTATAATAATATGGGTAGATAGAAGCAAGACCTCAGATTACTTTACTCTGTCACAATTTGTATTGACATGCATAATGTCATCAGATACTACAGGCACGAATTCAATAACACTTCAATACTATACCCAAAACGTGGATGCCGTGTCATTTGTATGCAATGCAAGAAATAATCCGTGTGGTGAGAACATTCTACCTGCATTTTACCGCATTTACAGATCAGGTTTATTCAATCTTCAAGGATGTTCGAATTGTAGTTTCAATATAAATACAACCACAGAGTGACCCATTCCTAAATTCTATTGAATCGATGAATCGATGAATTTATTTTTACTAGGTGTCAGCCCTAATAGTAAATACTGCGCCAGTGCCAGGTATAGGAAAAAGAAGTGAAAATGCTAGGTTGGTGAGCATATCAATAATTATAATATCTCTCTCCATATCCCACTGTGTTTGGCTCGGTGATCAAATGAAGGAAAACAATATCGTTGTGTGAGACAAAAAAGTATTGCTGGCCGTGATTATTCAAAAACAAGTTATCCTTAGGATCAGAATAAAAATACTCAACTATAATATGGTGTATTTATACCTCCAGCATGGGTATGAAATGCCAAATCTGCCGAAATCGGGAACAAATCAGGCATGCGTACCACTTCTCTGTGAAACTCAAGATGGCCTAATCAGAGTTTGCATAACTGTTTGCGTTTATGAGATACAGGGCGATTTTGAAAATTTATACTTTTTGGACCCCCTCTATATCTACGAAGTTTCTCAGCGAAAATGTCAAATTGGAATCTTATCCCATACAGAATTTTGCGCAGAATTCAGTGGCGCACTCAATTTTTTTTTCTGGGTATGGTTTCGGAGATACGACTCAAACTTATGATTTTTTTTCAAAAGGAACTCCCTGTATTTTATAAGCTCATTAAATTCCTTATTTTTTCCCCATCAAAATGAAATATGATGAATAGGTATAAAATTTCCAAAAATGCTCCAAAATCACTAAAACATTGAATTTTAATAGTGGGCTATGGATTTTTCATTTAAAAAAAGTTCCAATTGAAGGAATATTTCATCTGATTCTTCCATGAAAAGGAAAAAAACAATCGCAACACTAGTTAATTGAGATAACACAAAAATTAGGTACCTGATAGCAACAAATGAATGGTAATAAAAAGTTCATATTCTAGAATAAGCACCTGATTTAATATTCACCAAGACAATTGAATTTCGAAATTAATAAGTAACTTATCCATTGAATTGTTCAAATTGATGTCCACTTTCCCTTGCACGCTTTCTCAATACGTCTTAATGCATTCAAAATCATTAAAGGATATCTTTGTAATTCCTGGACTCTTACTGTATACGTCTTGTATTGAGAAACTGTGTCAATTGTGTGTTATGGAAAAAGGACATCAATTTGAACAATTCAGTGAATGAGTTATTGAATAATTCCGAAATTCAATTGTATTTGTAAATATTTAATCTGGTGCTTATTCTACATTATGAACTTTTTATTACTATTTATTTGTTGCTATCGGGTAGATAATTTTTTGTGTTTTCTTAGTTGATTAGTGTTGGTATTGTTTTTGTCCTCTTTATGGAAAAATCAAAATGAATATTCCTTCAATTGGAACTTTTTTACAAGAAAAATCCATAGCCCACTATTGAAATTCAATGTTTCAGTGATTTCAGAGCATTTTTGAAAATTTGATATACATACATTATAAATCATTTTGAAGAGAAAGAAATGAGGAATGTTATGAGCTTATAAAATACAGGGTGTTCCATTCAAAAAATCATAAGTTTGAGTCGTATCTCCAAAACCATACCCCGAAAAAAAATGTTGAGTGCGCCACTGGATTCTGCGTGAACTTTCATATGGGATGATGATGATAAATTTGACATTTTTGCTGAGAAACTTCGTAGAGATAGAGGGGGTCCAAAAAGCATAAATTTTCAAAATCGCCCTGTATCTCATACACGGAAACAGTTATGCAAAATCTGATTAGGCCATCTTGAGTTTCACAAAAAAGTGGCACACGACCGCGAAACCCGCAAGGTTCTATCTCGGAAGATAACTGAAATATCCGGAAATATCACACAAAAGCATCGAAAACTGGACACACTGTACATATGCAACTTATTACTTATGTAAGAATCTTCATTAGAAAAGTTTTCCGCCTGTGGGCGTTCCACGGTTGTCTGTTATTTATGATGGTCAGGTTGCCATAATGCCATCGGATTTTTCAGTTTCAACTAGTTTAAATTGAAGGTAATAATGCAATTTGTTACCATTGGAGAAAGTTTGAATTCATGGATTACTTTTTCTCATGAATTGATTCACTGACTTAATTCGTTTGAATTAATAATTCCTGCCAACCCTGATATCTTTTACAAGAAGAGATTAGTATTATTTATTGGTATTCGGGATTTTGACGTAGGCTGTGTGCATTGGAAACATGTAGTTGAATAGAAAACTTGAAATTTGGTATAATTGTTAATAACATTTTTCATGGTGTAGAATGACTTGAGATATTAATGAGTCATTTAGACAATTGATCGGAAAAATAATCTCTTGTCAACGAACAAACTTCAATGATCTGTAGAAACCGAGGTAGAAACTGAAATAAAATTCGAATCCTCAAAAGCCAGTTTTGCATGAACCAAAATATAATCGCGTCCGAAACAGGTATATGCAAGGAGTTTTGAGGAATAAATGTATAAATCATTGGAAAAATGAAAGAAAATGAACGAAGAATTGATAAAAAATTGAAATCTACGCCCTTGCCCTTCATCCCTTGCAAGCCTACATCCCCAGGGTTGTTTCCTTTTCTCGTTTCTCTAATTCACGTTCGCGTTCGCTGAAACTGAGTATTTATTAGTTACGTGACTGCAATAAATATTGTAGTTCTAGTTTAAACAAGTGTTTTTTTTTTTATCGCTTGGAGCGCACGAGAGGGAATTCCTATAATGTTCAAAGAACATCGTGCGTTCCTAGGGAGGATAGGGATAGGAGGTAGATTTCCACAAACTTTTCAATCACACGACATGTTTTGCTAACACAGTAGCTTCATCAGGTGAAATACTGGTAATATGAAAAAAAAAGTTCTATTTTCCATATTTCAAAAAGGAAGTTGGAGCCGTGACGTATTTGTCTCGAACAGTAGCTATCTCTGTCTGATACCTTGTCAGTCTGAATTGTTGCAGTGTGATTGGTCAGCTCAAGGACAATTGGCGTGTTGGGACTAATCATCACACTAGTGATACCAATGAATTGTCATCATTTCAAATAGCACAGGAAGTGTGTGTTTTGAAATATTTCAATCATTTTTTTTATCATTTTGGTATGAATGAGAAAAAAATCAAAATTATATATTAACTGGCGGTTTTTTGTATGGAGCTCATGATACATTATGAAGCATAAATAAATGATCAAATAAATGTAAAATCGAAAATATTGAAAAAAATCGACTGAATAAATGAATAAATGAATAAATGAATAAATGAATAAATGAATAAATGAATAAATGAATAAATGAATAAATGAATAAATGAATAAATGAATAAATGAATAAATGAATAAATGAATAAATGAATAAATGAATAAATGAATAAATGAATAAATGAATAAATGAATAAATGAAACATGCATAACTGGATTTTTTTCTCTTGAAGTGCAAGAAAGGAATGAATGAACAAAATCAATAAATTGATGACTGAATTAGTGAATGAATCAATGAATGAATAATTGTTTGATGAGTACATTATTCCAAGTTCAATATGGCAGCTGTTTATACACCAAAATTCCACCTCAATTTATCCCATGATATCCCCAAGTAACTTCAAGGAATTCCCTGGTATTCTGAACAATGAATCTAAGGTATATTTGTTGTATATAGACCAGAACTGCAGTTCACCTAAAGATTTCAAAGGAATCCTAAGGTGTTCCAAAGAATTATAGTACATTCCAGAAAATGTCATTTGTTTGTTGATCAGAATTCTACCACAGTCTAAACCACAGTTAACCCAAAAAAATCCAAAGAATTCCAAGAAACTCCAGTCAATTTCAGTTGATTAAATACCACAGATTCCAAGGAATTCCAAACAGATACCAAAATTCTACTGCATGTCACCCAAAGACCTCAAAAGAACCCCAAGGAGTTTCAAGGAATTGTAAGAATTTCCAGGGAATTCCAGTTGTTTCTGGATCAGAATTCTACCACAGTGCACCCAATGAATTCCAAAGAATTTCAAGGAATTCTAGTTGTTTGTACACTAGAATTCCATTGCAGTTAACCCAAGGGATTTTCCATGGAATTCCAAATAAATCTCAGGAATTCCAGTTTTTTTTTATATCAGAATACACAAGGATTTTCAAGGAATTTCTGGCATTCCAAATGAATCCAGTGAATTTTAGTTGTTTGTTCTCCAGAATTCTACTACTGGGCTCCCAAAGAATTCTAAGGAATGCTGAGGTTTTCTATTATGGTTCAACCCATCAACCCTTGGTTTGATTTCAAAACAAAATTGCATAGAAAAGTGAAAAATTTATTTTTCTTTCAGTGGTTATGGGTGATTATGAACTAGGTATGAATTTTAATTTTCCAAATATATTAAAAGATAACTATCAGATGCTCATTAAAAATTTAACTATATTTCCAGGTTCATTTTGATTAACCCAGCACACAATGGATACATTTTAATTAAAAACGACTCACCATGTTGAATGCCCATGTCAGTAACTCTCAACACCCCACCTTTAATCATAGCCCCATAATTTGGTTTTATCTGAGATACATCAGGATTCAGCAAACCATAACTGTGTCCACTAGCTCCACTATCTTCAAATATGAAGAGGATATGAATGTCTTTGATGAGGGCTTTGGTGACAGTAATATGCCATGATTGAGTAACTCTCCTGGATGTGGTAGTCAAAGCTTCCCAATGGTATTCAATGTAGGGAATAATTTCTTGGTCTTTGCTGAACATGGTCCTATTTGAACCCTCTTTGATGCTAGCTTGTTGGAGGTTGGCTATAGCAGTTACACACATCTGTTGTGTTTCTGAAATAAGTAAGTTCTGAAATGCAAGAAAAATTGCTGTGTATGCATTAATAGTTACGTGCTTGGCTCTTTCTGAAACTTTCCAGCCCTGTGGGAGAGCAGTTCTTGCACAGAAATATGTAGTTGGACATGAATGGAACAAGTTTACCCAGCTGATAACCTATGCAGGACTCATGGAACCAACGGGAACAGTTGGCACAGAGCAGCTCAACAATGTTCAGATTTCTATCTTTACCACTGAAAATTACAAAAATTGATGAGAGAAAAAATAGGTAGGTTTCCATTTACCAATAGCAGGTGTTAGGGAAATCCGTTTTTTTCTCGATTTTCCCATTATCAGACAAAAGTTTGTCTTCCTTTCCATCATTTTGTAAATTTTCACTGCTTGAAAAATTAGAATCTTCTGTAGACATTTCCAAAGAGTTATTGGATTTACTGAAAAATCAAGAGTAATGAAAAATAATAAATATATAGCTAGGATTTTATCCACCTGAAATCACTTTCTTCAGCCATACTGAAAAATGCACTTTCAAATATAATGTATATAAACTAGTACCAAGTGCCCTATTTATTGAGGAATATTTCCAGAAGTGGATGTAGATTTTCAAGCAGTTTCTATTTTCAGTATTTTTTTAAACTAGGTATTTGGAACCCGACTGGACTATTCGATATAGCATTGTCTGCTGAATATGGAGAAAAAATCTAGTGAGCTGGAATTTCTGGTCTTCCCAATATCTCAGTTGAGTGTAGGACCGCTAGAGGATGTTACCGTATCGTACGATATGATCGTCACTTTTTTCTAGAAAAATTTCGAAATTTGTGGTTATGTAAGTTGTCACTGGTTGTCAGTGTCAAGAGCTGTCATGACATCGTGACTTGTTTTGAATTTTTTTCTAAAATATCATTCTTTTTCAATTCTCATTGTTCTAATATTCCTTTCGTTTATAGACATAGTTTTGTGATGTGCTCCCAGTATTATAGTAGTTTATTCTGATTATCAATGTGTAACAAACTCTGTCTCCTCCTATTGTGCCTACCAGAAATTGTGAAACCATCTCCATTCCTGGATTTTCAAGTGATATTTCTTTGCGACAAAGTAGATAGTGTGGATACATTCGATATTGAGTGTTACAGGATCATCACAAGTAAGGAAATCAGAGCCCTGATCCCTGATCAAATGCTAATAATCGATACTTCCGATTCTACCACTCATTTACTTTGGGTGCTACAAGTTCCAAAATTGAGAACTATTGTAATGTCTGTAACAACCATTTTGAGAAGGAATGATTCAAGGTGACAAAACACGGGAAAAAGTTGCTTAGAAAAGGATCAATCCACTGGAATTTTTAGGGTAAGTGTAGATTTAATATTGATATGATGAATGAATGTGGAAGAACAGGTTGGGTTCTCCTTCGGGCCAGCAGGAAGAAGTTTCTCACAGTCATTGAGCATATGTAATCTCCCAATGTGAATATCAATTTGTTTGGTTTATGGATATTAGTTTTGTATGATTTCACATAGGTATCAGCTTCTCACTTAATTATTGAGTACTATGATAGACTATGATGATACATTATACCTATTATATGAAAATTATTTTTAGAAACCTACTGATGCCTGGGTGACTCCATCATCATGTAAGCAGATGTGTGTGATGAATTCTTCACTCAACTAATGAAATTTGCTCATCTCAAGATAAGATATTTATTTGCCTGCAAACTACAAAATCAGTACATATAAACAGGTAGAACACTGATTCCAAAAACTTATTACACATAAGGTTTGTATAGAGTGAGTCTGATAAATTAAATGCTCTTATTGTAAAGATAGTGTTAAAAATGTGGCAAATTGAAAATGAAAATTGATCTGTTATTCTAGGATATTCCTCAGAAATGGATAGTTTGACTAAAAATCAATTCATTCAGTTCTTTACGAAAGCACTCTGTATTGCTGAATGTTGTGTTTAGTTAATTTTCTATCAGAACATTATACTTGGTTCTTGTAAATTTTTTTCTCAATATCTGATTCTATATAATGTACAGGAAAAATGATAATCTATACAGGGGGTGATACCTTGTGATATATTTTAGGAAATAAAAGTCATATAAACATGTGTCCTTGCTTTGAATATGCTTCGTTTTCCAGATACAGGGTATTAATAGTTCCATGAAAAATCGATTTTTATTTGCCTACTGGAATGTCTCAATCAATTCCAATGAAACTTGGTGGTTTGGATGATAGTAACTTGGAACTTCTTGTGGTGTAATCAGATTCAAAATAATTTTTCCAGGGCGTCACATTGGGGTAATTGATTGATATTTATGACCACTGGTTTTTATGATTTCCATATATTCATTGATTGAATGACAATGTTCTTATCTGTTATTTTGTATCTCCCTTAGTTTTTGAGGAAACAATGAAAATTCAATTGGTTTACAAATTTCAAAGGAGTGCTTTCAATACACTCATTGAGCATACTTAACAACCTCAATAAGAAATATTTTGTTGGTCACCAAAGCATACAGAATTTGCACCATGCAAGCTTATAAATTGATAAATAAAAACCATACTTCCTACTACAACATCCATTATCTCAAAAGGTTAGGACATCATCATGTTTATATGAACTTCATTTAATAAAATATCACATGGAATCACCCTCTGAAGTTTTCTTCACAACTATTCACAAACACCATATATATTATAGGTATCTGTATTTGGTTTATATTATAAACTATGAAAATATTACATAAATTTTCACACTTTCACTTACTGTTCACTTCCAGGATGACGGTGATGCAAGTGGTGAATATCAAAATAATTGATCACTGGATATCAACACGGTGATAATTATGAATAATCTTTGGTAAGAGTCGAGGTAAGAGTCCAAATTGCTGAAAGTGGAGTGGAAATTTTCAAAGGAAGGAATGCTCAAAGACATCTCCACAAATGTTAATGACATTGTTACACAATCAGGAACATGTTTCATTCTTAGAAAATACCATCCTCAGCCTAAGCCCCTAGTAGATATTTTATTACTAGAGTCCATCTTTAGCCTAAGCCTCTTGAAGAATTTTCATTAGACTGAAAGATGGTATTTTCTAAGAAAATACTATCTTCAGCCTAAGCCCCTTGTAGATATTACATTACTTTTTGATGCTTAAAAAATGTGTCAAATCTAATTTTTGGTAGTAACCTTTGAAAAACTTTCATTGAGTCTGGATGCTTTATTGAAATATTTTCTCAATGGCATGTGGGATTTAAATATGAATTTTCAACACCCATTGATTCTCTAGTGGGAGGGTTACTTTATGGACTATGGACAGACCATGTATATATTCAAAAGCAGATTTATTACTGATTTTGTTATCACATATTTCATGAAGCATCAGTTTCTATGAAATGAAATAACTTGAAAAACGTGTTGTTCTCTGCTCCAACAATGCATGCCCTACTAAGGGAGCAAATGCAATTGTTCAATTAATTCAGGAATAATTAGTCACCACTTATTTTTTTTATAATTATATTTTACTGTATATACTAGTAAGGTATCTGATGTTTGATTGTGGATTAACGAATTTACCTATTTCTTAGATCTTATTATAAAAAATTAACATTCAGAAGAAATAATGAAAATTCATGGGTGAAATTTGTAACTGATTCTCAATTGTTCAAGTTGTTCTGTATTCTGTTGTATCAAATGATATGTGATACAAATATGCAAATACATGGTCCACACAGTAGTTATGGCATTATTATACTTACTTATATTGCCTTGTATGCTATGTCATGAACAATCAAAAATGATTCTCTATATACTCCAATTCAGAAACTAGAAGTATTTACAATTCTATTTGCTTAATTTAAACAATTTTATCCAAAAAGGAATCCAGTAAATTACTTTGATATTTGGTCATTGTAATGAAACTTAAGGAGATTAATTGAATACAAATATATTTTAGAGCCAATAAAACAATATCATGTTGGGAATGAATCTGATTTATTTGAATAATTAATTCAATGACCTTTCTTCCAGATTCCAGTACCTATAGTCCCCAAATCAGTCATTTCCTGATTCCCCATCTCATCCAGTAACTCCTGATAATTTTTCAACATTATATGTCATATAAGATGGGCCCCCTGAAGTTGCCACCTCCATCTTCTACAATATTCCTGAATATCTTCTGATGGGTTCTGAAAATTGACATATTCATCCTCGGAGTATTCATCTGAAGTAGCAGTGATTTTTTTATATTTACTGTGTACATTTTATGACCTGCCTATGCATTTTATCTATGTTATGAATTAGTTTCATTGAATAAATAAAGAATATACAAGAATTTGAAGAACAAACACTACAAAATCAATAAAAAAATATTAATATACATTTTGAATATTATTCAATTTTATTAATCACAGATGTATGAAATGAGTTTCAAAAAGGGATACTGATTTCCACTCTATGCATTGATTGTTTGATATTGTCCCAAGAAACGTAGTTGTTTTTAATAGGAATACATAATTACAAAAACAATTTACATAATTTGTAATGCATGAAAGTTACAAAAATTATATCATTATATCAAGCAAAAAAAAAATAATGCAAATAATCATGAAATTCCAAACTTATTCATTATAAGTATTCAAATAGGAAATGGAATCATCAAAGTCTCTGAAGCAAGAAGCTAGCAAAGCATCTCACGAATTTCAACATGAGACACATCTCATAATTTTAGGATTATTTTAGGCTAATTTATTACTCAATTCTGGAATTGTTTGCACATCGAAAAATCTGTGGCTTTGCTAGCTTTGGCCGAACTCAGCATTTTTGAAAAACAATATTTTTCTATGATTTGATAAAGTGAAACTGTAGGCCATTGTAGGGCATATTTTATGCTAATTTATTACCCTATTCCCATATTTTTTATTCACTTCATTCACAAAGAAATCTGTGGCTTTGCTAGCTTCGGGTCAGTAGAGCCATTTTTTAAAACAGATTTTTCACTGATTTGATATATTGGGATTTATTGGCTAATTTTCGGTTAATTAATTACCATATTTTCAAAATTTTTGCTCAACGTTCTCAGAAAAAAAAACTAAACGATTTGTTGAAATATGCCTTATTCACTGGGCATTATGTGTTTCGCATTTCTATCAAAACCATATTTGAATAAACGTAACCATCCATTCTCAAAGTGGTCCAGTACTTTTCAACAGGATAAAAAAACGAACTCAAAGTCGGTCCACCACAATATTTATTATAAAAATATTCAGCGTGTGACTATACTATTCAAGTAGGTACTTTTCTCATTGTGTCTGAAGATGGCCGTAGAGCCGAAACTATAGTCACACGCTGATTATTTTTATATTAAATTTTGTGGTCGACCGACTGTGAGTTCGTTGTTTTCTCCATATTTTAATTTTATGACGATTTCATGATGCGAAGTGTTAGTATTGATTGTAGGCTCAGTTACAATCACATTTTCTTATTTTTTGCTGCATATTTTTTGGAA